AATGATCGCCATTTTGTGTTTCTTTGCCTTTTTTTTTTCTTTTCCTTTTTTTGCCTTAATGCATTAGCGTGGAGTATTCCTACAGTCATAGTACACAGGGCATTCTAACCTGGCCCTGGTTGAAGTAGGGTGAATTCTTTGCTAAGATGCTTGTTTAGTGAGTATCTGGGTGTATGCAGGAACATGTGCCCACGGATGCCAGAGTGGGTACCCTACTAGATCACTCTCTGCCGCGTTACCTTAAGATGTGGTCTCTTCTTGATTCTGGAGCTAGGCTGGTGGCCAGCAAGCCCCAGTGATGATCCTCCTGTTTCTGCCTCTCATAGCCCTGGGGTTAGGGGCACACAGCCACACCTGACTTTTTAAATGTGGGTGCTGGAGATTTGAACTTAGTCCTCATGTTTGTGCAGCCAGTGCTCTTACCACTGAGCATCTTCCTTTAGTTTGTTTATGTAAGTACCATTTTTCAACTGAAAGTTGGGGCTTTTTGTACCAACATTTTTATGAGCCCCTCCCCCCATTGAATAGTATCAATAAATGCCTTTTGGGATCTGTATTGAGATGTTGTAAGTTTTCTTACTTTTTTAATGTAGTAAATTACACTTTAAAAAAAAAAAAAGCAAAAAAACTAAACTCTAATTTCTAAACTGAACCTGCGCTGACCAAGATGTTACAACCTTTTGTTTTTGTTTTTTTTTTTTTGTATACTTCTGAGAGTTTGAGAGGTTTATTAATACTTTGGTTTTTTTTTTTTGTGATAATGACTAAGTTTAGCTTATTTTTTTTGTAATTCTGTTGCCAATTTTTGATATCAAAGAAATGCTGCCTCATGAAAAATGTTGAACTTCTTTTTTAAAATATATTTTCTAGATGAGTTTATATGAATAACAATAATAATTATCTTTGAGACAAGTCTCACTATGTAGCCCTGGCTGTCCTGAAACTCTCCATAAAGACCAGGCTGGCCTGGAACTCACAGAGATCTGCCTGCCTCTGCCTCTAGAATGCTAGGATTAATGGTGTGTGCTACCATGGAATTATTTCTTAAATGAAAGTGTCATAGAGCTTTCCTGTGAAGCCATTTGATTTTAGATTTTTCTTTCCTAGGCATTTAGATCATGGAGTAGATTTCTTTTAGAGTTGTTAGACCATGTGGGGCTTTTGGTTTTTCTGTGTCTGTTGTGGTGGGTTGTACTTTACTAAGATTTTCTCTCTCACCCATGTTTGCACATTGTTCTCAGAGCAGTTTCTGCACCTTGATGCCACTGTGGTTTGGGACCAGGGCACTCTGTTAAGGGCTGCCTGACCGCAGCATGCTGTCTTTGGGTGTGTTGCAGACTGGTAGGAGTGTCCTCGTTCTTTTCTGATGATAGCTTTTTAGATTACAGATTTAGATTAATCTGTTAATCAATTCATTTGCCTTATGGTCAAGCTGTGGAGTGAGATGCTGTGAGAGTTGGTCCTTTCGTTGACTTCATTGACGTTAAGTTGCTTTACCAACTTTCTTTGCTTATTTATTTGCAAAATGCTTATCTTTTCAAGTGTCTTATTTTGGTGCTTTCTGTAGCTTTGTGTTTTTATGTCTGTGTATCGTGTGCATATGTTTGGGTGAGTACTCATACTTTATTTTTATGCAGTCCAGCAACCTTTGCTGTTAGCCGGCCTAGACTGTTGACCCTCAGCTGCACTGCAGAGGCCTTGGTGTCAACTGTCTGCCTTCTTGCTAGGGACTCGCTCCTCCCCTGCACAGTGCCATTGTTCAGTGCACCTTATCTAACAGGCTCTGCTGTGGTCTGTGCAGGGAGGTCCTCTCATTGTCCTTTACGCAGCCTTCTCACATCTTCCATTTGAACAGCCATGAGAACATTTCTGGTACAAGTTACGTTTTTGTTAGAAAGTGCCTGTATCTGACTCTCAGGTATCTGCTGTCAGTGTCCTCTGTCTGCACCCACTGTACATTCTGTCACCTCACGGTGCCCCGTCCCCACTGCTGGCTCTGTGATGGTTTTGGACACTTCTCCTGCTAGTCTTCTACTCACTGATTCATCCTAGCTAAGCCTCGTTATGCCCTTAATTTTGCTTAATTCAGATTTCAGTTTTAGAATTTTTTTTCAAGCTTTTCATTTCCCAACATTTTACCTTCTTAACTGAAATTCTTTATTCTCTTAATGCTTGTGTCATAAACACCGTAGAATCTTGTATTGCATTCACCTGTTTCATTGTTACTCAAATGTATTGTTGCTCTTTCAGCTTTAAAGCTATTTCCAGGTCCTCAGGAAGAACAGCTGAGCAAGAATGTCTCTTCTGGTGATTCCGTCATCTGGGGATCTGAGGGTTTCTTTCTATAGTGTTATTTCCACTGGATTGTTGTTTCCTGTGTCAGGAGTAGGTGTGTGGGTGGGTGTGCAGCCGTGACATTATCTGCAGAGTCTGTGGATGACGACTACGACATCGTCCTCTACATTAGATGGAAGGGTGTTTCTGCCTGGTGCTCCAGACATAGGCCTTTAGTTACCCCTCCCTAAGTTCAGGGAGCATAGCCATTACAAGCAGAGCTACAGGCTTGGGGGAGGGGAAGTTTCTAGGGATTTCTTCAGATTGAAAGGGTTTCCTCCTCCCTCCCTAATTCCCTTCTTCATCCTTCTAGTCCTCTTAAACCATGAGTGTGAGGGATGATCAGAAGTGCAGAAGGTTCTAGGGATGCCTGTAAGACCTGCCTGTGACCCTCACTGGGAATTTTCCCCCAATGCCAGGTTCACCCCTGGCCTCCACCTGGCACTGTAATTCTTACCATTAACTTACCAGTACATTTACAGACATGTGGTGTTTATCTGGCTTTCTGATTGTTCTCTGGCTTTCTGATTGTTCACACTGTTATGTTTTTAAAAACATTATGTTTATCTACCAAATAATGATGTTTTTGTCAAAATGAGAAATTCCTTGCCATAGAGGAAGAGGACATGAGGTGGTCAGTAACATCCATGAGGACACTCAGCAGGAACGAGAGTAACAGCTGAGCTACTTGGGGGTTATCAGAATGTTTAGCCTGTTATTTACATAAAGAATTATTTAGTGGATGGCTTTTTAAGATTTATTTTTATTTTTAAATTGTGTGTGTGTTTGTGTGTGGCTATATTCAGGTAAGTGTAGCAGTGCCCATGGAGGGTGGAAGAGGGTTTCAGATCCCCTGGAGCCGTTATGAGCCACCAGACTGGGTGTTGGGAACTGCTTGTGACCTCTACAAGAGCAGGGCAGGCCCATCTCTCCATTCTGCAAATGGGTACTCTTGATTTTCAGCAGCATATGTATGTGCCCGTAGATGTGCACTTTGGGGTATAGCTGACAGTGTGCAGGTGATTCTCCTTGGACTCCTATGGAACACTTGGTCTTAGAGCATCTGATTGGCATGGCCTGTGTTCTTTCTTTAGGAGTAGAGTGTGAGACTTGCCTTATCAGTGCTTTGAGGTCCAGCTGTTGCCAAGTATTCTTGTTTGAATAGCGATTTGGAACTTGAATATACGTGAGGTCAAGCAGAACCTCAGATCATTTTCTTTATTATCATCTCTTTCCTGGAATATCACCTCATCTATCCAGTTGCTGCCTTACCTTCTCCCTTTCTGTCTCCAAAGTGGTCACCATCCTAGCATCATGGATACAAAGGCCAACATGACCTTCTCTCCTTTGTGAGCACTGTCCATCTGTAGATAGGCAGGCAAGTGTTAGTGAAGCAACTTTGGAAGTTGGTGTTGGCAGGTATCTCCCAGATTGTTCCTTTTCTCCAGAGGGGGAGGGTATGACTGGGCTGATGGCCTTGGTGCTAAGTCAGGGACCCACTGGTCATACTCAGTGCTTCCCTTTCAACCTGTTCTGAATAAACTTTCCTGCAGAGGAATTTAGAAGGAATTGCAAAGAAAAACTCATACATAGCACTAAACCTCCACAGAAGAAATTCTGGAATTCATTCTTCGGTTTGTTTCTTTTCTTTCATGAAAGGGAGGCCCTGTCCGCCAAGCTCTGGAATTGGTTTGCTTCCTTCTCTTCAGAGAACTGCTTGGTGTGTTCTGCCTCTGAAAATCTGCTCTCTACTCTTAACAAGCAGCTGGGCCGGTTGAGTCTCAGAGCAAAAACTACAAAGCAGTGGCAGAGGCTGCAGAACAGATGCTGTTTGCGTAGAAGTACAAGACAAGCATGACATTCGCACAGTGGTTCGTCCTTTTCCAAGAGCTGGGTACTTTTCACTAAGTAATCTTTTGCTGCTTATTTCTCACAAATAGTTGCTTTTGCACAAGTGTGGCTGATTTCAGAGAAGGGTCCTTGGACATACACATGTGGTGTCATGTGGCAGCATTATAAGCAGCCCACATGCAGTGGTCACCGTGCTTGCTCATGCTCCTGGTAGCTTGTGTTTCAGAGCAGGGTGGATGAGCTGTGGCTTCAGTTGTAGTGCCTCAAAACTGTTCCTGTAGAGTTTTGCAGTCACTCAAGCCAGGCTGCTTTGTAGAGGTTGCCCCCTCAAGAAGACAGCAGCCAAGGTAGGTGGCTAGTATCTGTGCATTGCAGTTTCCAGGACAGCTGCACTTCATGTGGTTCACTTAAGAATAAAGAAATCAGCACAGAGAGACAATGACACGCTCAGCTGGCACCACCACTGGAGAGGTTCTGACTGGTTCTGGGTTTTCTAGTGTGAAAGTGAAGACCGAAGTTTTGTATTGGATTTGTACTTATATAAGAAACTAACAAGGTATTTCAAACTGATTTTGAAACTTACAAGCGTACCACACACACACACACTCACACACTACAAAGGAAACAAATCTGAGGAAACAATTACAGGTATTGAAAGTGGTCTTGCACTTACATGAAACTCTGTGTTGAGCATTTAGCTATGTTTGCTAACGTTTACTGCTGTTGATCTTGGTACTGCTTTGGCCGTCTCACTCCACTGTAGATAGGATTCTCTTCTCTGTGAAGTACTCCTTCAGTTGTGATTCTCTGGGTGGCCCCCTTCAACAATTTAAAGATGTTTTGTCTTTTCTGCTTTTAGAAATTAGTTCTTAGTCCAATTACTCTTTCTATCTCCTAGCTCCAGAAATGTGTTCAATATATTGTTCTCAGATAGAGGGCATCAGATACTAAGCTGATACGAACAGATACTACACTTGATTTTAACCAAAAGACCAAGAAATGATCCACTTACCCTTTCTCCTTCGCTTGTCTTGGCGTCATTTAGACATTTTCCCATGCTGATGCTCAGATACTTTATTGCAAAGTGTATAGAGTCGGTTTGTACTTGTTTGTACTACTTAGGTCATATGCTTTTTTAGTTTAACCATATTTCTGAATCCTAGAATATTCTCGTTATCATTATGCTGCTGTTTTGTTTTTAGTTTTACTTCAGAAATCATTCTAGTTTATACTGGGCTACCTTGTTCATTTATCCTTGGCATCATTTTCTTGTTTGTTTTCTCATTGATTTCTTTGCTTTTGTGCTGCATTCTGGTTATCTGGGTCTATAGTTTGGTTGTCTGTTTTTCTCTTTATCTATATTTAATTTGATCTTTTCAATTCTAGAAAATTTCATTTAAAAAAACCTTCATATTTAAAAGCATTTAAAGAACAGCTTAAAAACCATTTCTCCTTTTTCTAGGTTCTTTTCCTCCACTATAGCTTCTGCTTTTTAAGTTTTAAGTATATGATATGAATGTGGCTTTATAAGATTAACTTATTTAATAACTTCCTTCAAATGTAAATACTAACTTATTTTCATTTCCTTAAAATATTTGTAATTATTTTGCAATTCTTTCATTTTGTTTTGTTTACTAATTTCAGATTGTTTACTAATAACTGTTTCCACCATCGTTGGTGCTTTTAAATTTCCATTGAACTCCTAAGTAGGACACTCCTCTCTGAAGAGCCATTTTTCTGTTTTTAACCTTGGGCTCCAAGGTTTTCAGAACTATGCAAATACTGAATCTGGAGGCTGCCCCACACTGACACTGACACTGACTTGGGGGGCTCTCAGTCTCTCTGCAGGGACTCTTCCTCAAAACTCCAGTCTGCTTCCCTGGCCCTGTGAAGAGAATTCTCTAGGCCTCTTTTCCAGACCAGGCAGCCCATTAAAGTTCTGTCCTTACTGGGACCTCCCTTCCAGCTCAGTAAGGGCACGTTCATGGCTACATCTCCTGCCCACTAGATGCGAAGGTGACTTGGCTCTCAAGACCAGATGGATTTTGCTGTCTTACTTCGGCTTCCTGCCTTGTTTACTCTTCCTGGAAACTGACATCCCCTTTGTCTGGAGCTCAGTCTGGTTGTAATACTAGGTAGGACAAGATTTGATTCTGTCCTCTAGTTATCTACAAGATTCTGGAACTTTCAAGTTTTGATTGTATCTGAATGTTGTCCCACCCTACTTTGGACATGGCTAGAACCCATTTTCCAAATGTAAGGACGGGGTTGGCTGCTAGCAGCCTGTTCATTCAGATGCACAGGCACAGGTACAGGTTCCAGTTCTGTGGGATTCCACTTCTTCACCTTCCCTGCTGGCAGAGCTGATCTTGCTCTCCTCTGCATATCTGTGCAGATGAGGTTCTAGATCGGTCACGATCAAGTCACAGAGGTGCCTCTCTTCCCCACACGCTGTCTTCATACCCAGATAGTAAAGACTGATCTGTTTTGTTCAGGTGGAAGCTTAGATTAAATTTAGATTAAGGAAGCGCTGTTCCATTTTTGTTTAGTGTTGTTCCTGCAGCGTTTCCTTTCCTTGGCTCCTCTGCTTGTGGAGGAACTCGTACGTTGGCACACAGTGATCATTGGAGTTGCATGTTGAACAGTGGAAGTGAATCTGTCCTGAGAGCTGTAGCCCCAGAAGATGAGTTCCACGCCCTCTCCGGAGAGGTGGAAATGAGTGTCCTGCTTGTACTCTGGCAGCTGCCAAGCTGCCTGGAGCCTCCAGGCCGTGCCTCATAGGCTGTATGTGGACCAGCAGACAGCGAAGTGTTCTCTCCACCTTGGAGAGCAGTGTTGGACAGTGTGCGTTCGTGCTTGGGGAAAAGAGCACGGATTGCTTTTCTAAGTAGTCTCTTGTGCTGGTTGGTTTTCATCTAAAACTTTGCCCAAACCTGAGAAGTGGTCTTGGTATACCTGCTGGTGGAAGGGGCAGCAAGAGGACTTGGGCCTTGCTCCCACAGCCTGAGTTTCTGTCAGGCCACAAGCTGTGAGCATGTCCTTCATGCTCAGTAGCAGGGAGGGTGACATCCACAGGCAGTCTAGTTTGAACCTTTCGGTCCTTTAAGGTAAAGAGCAGCTTCATACCTATTTGGCAGATGTGGACGATGAGGTCAGCCTGGTCTTACTGTCCATAGGACATAAGGGAACGTGGGAGTGGATTCTGCCTTTTGTCCTTTGCAGGGCTGAGATTGGAACCCACAGCCTTGGCCTACTAGGCAAATGGTTTTACTCTTGAGCAACACTCTAGCCCCAGTCCTTCCAGGTGGTCATGGTCCCCACACACCACTGCCACAACCTCAGCTCCATCTACCACAGTTGTCATATGGAGCCCACAGGCTGAAATCCACATCCTGTCAGTGGCATTAGTATAGTTAACACCAGCCAAGTGCTTCTCCTGGCACTAGCTCTCTTTCGAAGATTAAAATAGAACACAATACAATGAGATCAATGTATTTTTAGAAGCTGAGTTTTGGTTCTATAAAATGGAATAATGCTGTACCTGAGTCAGGCCCAGCTTCAGGGAAGTTATGGTACATTGTACACAATGGAAATGTGCTGTTGGGGGTCCCATAGCTTGGATACCAGACTGCAGAGGATTCAGAAAAACTCCTTGACTGGGAGAGAGGTGTGGTGTAGGGTTCTTTACTTAAACAGCAAGGATGTGATTATCTTGAATGTGCTAGAGAGCTTGCATCAGAGATGCAAATGGAAGTGTGTGGAGCAGAACACAGGTTGCAGGCCTGTGTGTCCATAGCCTCCCAAAGAGTCTGGGAGGAGGGAAACTACAAATCGGAATGCTGTGATGTGTGTGTGGGTCCTTTTAAATATAACTGTATTTTGGAAATTTTCAGAAACTGATATAATTAAAATGAATTGAGCCGGGCATGGTGGCACACACCTTTAATCCCATCACTCGGGAGGCAGAAGCAGGTGGATCTCTGTGAGTTTGAGGCCAGCCTGGTCTACATAGTGAGTTCCAGACAAGCTGGGGCTACTGGAAGACCCTGTCTCAAAAAGGCTAATAAATAAATAAATAAATAAATAAACAAACAAACAAATAAATAATAGAAAACAAATGTGCTTTATGCTGATACTACAAAAATTAAGGAAAGTTAAAAATTTTGAAATCTTTAAGAGTTGACTTACATATTAGAACTCAAGAAAAACTGCTCCTTCCACATCACCCTCCCCACCAGGAGGAGCATGCAGAGGCAGGGCAGCACTGAGGGCCAGGCACTTGCCCAGGTCCTGGCATTTTTGCTGTGGATCTAACTTGTCCAGGTTCCTGTTGAAACTTGGACTGCACCGTGGGTTATAGGTACCTGGGGCAGGAGTCCTGTTCCCAGGTTTCCCATCTGGCCTGAGCATCTTGCTTGGGATAGATGATGTTATTGGCTCTCTGGTCTCACTGTGGACTTCTAATCCACTGTCTGCTTGAGTTTAATAGGTCAGTATTATCCTGAAGTCATCCTTCTGGTCAGAGCAGAGCACATGGGCAGACCCACCCAGGTGGCCTACAGGGAGAAAAACTCTTTCTAGTAATTTCCCCACGGGGAAGAGAGCTGAGTGTCACAACAGTCTACAGGAATCTCCTACGTGGATGGTTTAGGATAGGAGCTCTTGTGGTTCAACATCTCCAAATCCTTTACCAAGTTGAACTGCTGCAGACTTAGCCAGTAGTGGTCTCTAAGTAGCAGATCAGTAACCAGGACATGTGACACTGCAGGGGAAGGCAGGGTCCTCAGTTCCTTTGAGCCAGCAGGGGAAGGCAGGGTCCCCAGTCCCTTTGAGCCAGCAGGGGAAGGCAGGGTCCCCAGACCCTGATGGAATCTCTGCACATTTGTGCAGTCAGCTGCAGTACATTATTGTCTCCTGCTGTTTTCATCTGATTCGCTTGGGGTCTTGGTATCATCTTCTGGTGGAAGCCTGAGTGCTGGGAACAGAATGATGGTACCCATAGGCCTGGAGGGCAGGCTCTGCCTTCATCTACTCCTGATAATGATGGTTAGAGCTGTAAAATTCAAGTAGGCATTTCATTTAGCCAGAGGACCTCTGAATCCTCATGGGAATGCAAACAGCTGTTTCCTCTAGTACATGGTGTGACTGTGCTGCCATGGTCATTATGGAGACACGTGTTCAAGACATGGTGCAGGTCCAGGTCTTGCCTTCCAGACAAATGTAACATCCCGAGACAAGGGCCTTCCATGTGGGGAAGTCTCACAGAACACGCTGCAATAGGCAAGAAGTGAAAACCAAAATAAAGCAGCCGTCTCCAGCAGTGGGTCAGACTTACATATATGTGCATTGATTCCTGTGGGAGCCTGGGTGGGGTGCGTGTCATTCAGTATGCAGTGAGCCAGTGCTCTTCCTTCTGTAGCTCAGCTAAAGAAACGAGCACTGCTTTAGAAAGCCAGAGCTCAGCTCAGGTTGGGAGAAGCGGGTGAAACCGAAGCACATTGTGGGGAGTGTGAGATTTGAACATCTGACACAATTCCCGAACATTTGTCATGACAACTTAAGGAGGATTCAGAGTGTTTGCTCTTCAAAACACTGAGTGCGTCTCTAAGAATTGGCATACTCTACCATCTGATGACTTCTCCCTGTGAACCTGATGCCCTTGCCAGGCCTCTGCCTCTTGCACCTCTGGGAGTGGCATGACCTGGCCATGCCATGTGCGGGCCACCAGATGGTCCTAATGGATTATCTTTCAAAGTAGGTCCCAAGAGAGCACCCCTTCAACTCTCTCTCTCGCTGCCTTTGTCCTACCCCTGGGGCTCTACAAGAGCTCCTGTGCCCACTTTTGTCTTCAGTTCTGTGACCCAAGATTATATCCTACACAGCAGCTGAATCTATCTATGAGCCTCATGGTCCTCACTATGGCTCTGGGACGCATGGCTGCAGCTCCTGCCCCACTGGGTAGTTCCAGCCTGCTGTTCCCTCCTCCTGGGCCCTTTACATGGCT